CATCAACCCACAACAACAGATCAATCTCTCCTCTCTCTCTCTCTAATTTTTTTTTATTTTTATTTTTTATTTTTGAGCAATAATGGCAACCCAAGGAAACAAGAAAGAAAAGAAAAGGCAAACGCCAATCAACATAACTCCTAAGAGATATATAACGGGCCTGTTTGGCAGGTTATTTGAAAAAATGTTATTTCGAAAAACTATCGAATATGATAAAATATGATAAATAGAATATGATAGGATTTTAACAATATGTTTGGTATAATATTTGAAAATTATTCAGAGTTGAATAAAATGCTGAATAATTGTTTGGTACATATTGGAAACATTTTCTAAAAATATTTTTTTAACCTCGACATTTGTTAATTTAGGAAACACCTCCCACAATAAAACTTCAAAAATTAACAACCCCCTCAACCCCCCAAAAAATGAAGTCGTCGTCAACGACTAGAAGACCTAGTCAGAAACGGCAAAATCGGCCCACAACCAGCCGGTCGTGCGTCGTTCCAATGCTAGCGGCCGGCGGTGGCAGGTGCGGCTGTGGTTGCTAGAGGCTAGCAGTGAATTGGGGCGGTGGGAGTGTTTTTTAATTTATAAACTTTATTGTGAAAGTAATTGTTTTTAGTGAATAGAGTTGGAAAAATGTTAGAATAGGATATAAAAAAAAGTCCCACCTACTTTTCATTTTCGATAGAAAATTTTATTTGATTCGAAATAATGATCTCAATAAGTAAAACAACACATATTCTGTTTTTTAATCTAAATAAATAACAGATAAATGATTTGAAAGAGTGAAACAAACAGGGGGAACAATTCTGATTTGGTAACAAACAAACCATTCATGAACATGGAAAATACAAAAGGTACCTCTGAACAAGATCCTTAAGGCCTCTATGACTTCCTTTAATAGAATCCATGTGCAAGATGCATGGTACCTTAGTTGACTTTTCAATTTCATCATCTACAAGATGGTTTCAAAATTGGACAGTCAGTATAATCCAACAAATACAATAAACAAAATTAACCAATAAGCATCTGCCTTTAAAATAAGCCACTTCACCAGGATGACAGATGACAATCAAACTCCAATGAACACTGTCATCAGAATGCAATATATGATATTAAACACAGTGCAATTTAAGATTATTCTCCTGCGATCCAGTAAGAAAAAGAAAAAACATAATTATTTTCTTACCTGTAATTAACAGGAATAAACACGTAATTTTCTCATAAAGTTCACATTTTTTGTCCACTTACGAACACGTTGAAATGCTGCCTTGCCTTCACAAGCACTAGATGGATCTTTATCTAGACCAGCAAGCTTCCGAAGAAAAAACTATTAAAAAAGTGAAAACGATGCCGTTCTTCAGGTTGTAATTTCTTCTTCAAGTATCTAGCAAGAGGTCAGGTTTTGAAAAAATTAATCCTTCAAGAGATTCAAGTGCTAGAGCCACATTGCTGAGGAAAGACGAGAAGAAATTATACCAAAAAGAACAACTTGACTACAGACTAACACATAATTTAATCTTGCTTTCAAAAAGAGAGTCAATTAGACAACCATTCCTTCCTCAAATAGTGGTTGTTGGAAAAACATCAGATTTTCAAATCAACATCTTGGAGAGTTTTCTTATCCGAGAAGAAAGCACAAGATTTATAGCAAAAAGGAAATAAACTCACAAACAATCCTCAAAGAACACATATTGGAAATCTATCAGAAGTACAATAGCATTGCAAAGGAGCCAAACTTAGTTCAGGAACAAGTAAATTTGTGGGTGATTGTGTATTCATGTAGTCAGGCAGTCAGCAAAGAGCTAGTACTCATATCTTCACCTTTTAAGAATTGAATTTTCTCAATCCCACTCATTTACCTAATGCCAATGTCATATTAGGAGCTAGCTTTTTGATAGGAAATGATAAAAACTATATAAAAAGGAGATTGAGCTAGGTACATCAGTGGACTAAAGATCCACCAAAATATCTAAAACCAACGAGGGAGACAAATTAATACAAGATAGCGACTAATGTTCCCTTCCCTATGTGAAAACGTCGGAGCTAGCTTGATGTCCATTAGAAGAAAATTTCAAATCATGACCAATCGTATAAGCCTAGAGCACAATCACCAAATAAGAAGCATTAGTTATTTTAGATGGAAAAGTGTAGATTTCTGCCCTAACATGTGTTATAAAAATCATCATGAACTACACTAAGTTGTTGCTGCAACAGAAGACAACATGATTAAAGATACAAAGGATTTCAAAAAAAATAGCACATTTAAGAAGCCAGCGCCCCAAACTAACAAATGAAAATGATGATCTTGTTTAAATGAGAAGTTTTGATAGAAAACAGAAGGTTGTATCATTGTAGAGAAAGATATACTAAAACGGATCAAGTGTCCACAAAAGCAAAAGCAAAAACAAAAAACCTTCCCAAGTTTAGTAGAATAAAGACAGAAAAGTTTTGAAACCCTCCAAAATCAAGGCCCAAAAAGATGTTACCTGAAGCTTGTAAGAAAATTCACAGATCCTGATAGACCACCCATTACTAGGAGATATCGCAAGCAAGGGAGACGGTCCAAGGGTGTGACTAAAGGCCATAAAAAATAGTTAGGATATAGGGTACACATGCCTGGTTTGATAATAAGATGATTTTGGGGGAATCAAGTGTGCATATAAAAAGGGGGGTTATGCTCATGAAAGGGCAGATTGTATTTTTGAAAAGGAATCTTGTGGGAGGTCGCTAGCTCCTCGAATTGTTAGCAACTCTGTTTTCTTAATTTTGTTCTTCATTTCTCCATTTTTATTACAATAAACCAATAGAATTCTTAAATTGATTGTTTCTTATTAATTCTGTGTGTTGAGATTATTGGTTTGTTTGAATTTGTGTTGCTGGAATTGCTACTTTTGTTGAGGTCTATATCAAATTGGTATCAAAACATGATCCTACACCTACATGGCAATGCACACGTGGCAGGCTGACCTTAGGCTCGGGCTGTTACCCCGAGAAAGGGCATGGAGGCTCGAGGGAAAGGGGATCCGCATAGTCACCCAAGGGGTAAAGAGGCCGATGGGGGTAAAGAGGCCAACATGGACGTCAGTTACGGAAGCTTGGTGGAATGTTAGGATCTCACATTGGAAGGGAAAAGGGTGGGCATGTGGGTTATAAGGGGCTTGGGCACCCTCCCTTGGTAAGCCGATTTTCCAAGAAGAGCTCTACCCAGGCCTATAAAAGACCCATGGCCCAGCCCAATTGTTGAGTTATTGGAGTGGGTTCCTATCACTTGCTATCAAAGCCTCGTTTGGGTGATGGTTAAATCGAAAATGGAACAGAGAGTCGATGGATTGGAGAAAAAGATGGGGAAAGTGGAGAAGGAAATGGAGAATGTGAAGGAAGAACTGGGAAGCATCAAGGGTTACCTCCTTGAGAATGGATGAGGTTGAAGGAGGAAAGGGATGCTAGCATGAGTTGCGATAAGGGAAAAACATCCCACGCCGAGCACTCAAATAGCGGCGACAGCGGCGTGGTTGATCAAACCAAGAAAGCAGAAAATTCAAAGGATGAGAGGAGGAGTAAGAAACTAAATTTGACGGAACACCCTGTCAATTTCACACAAATCCAACAACAAAACAATCCAAAAACGCAATCTATGGCAATCCAATTCTGGAATTAAAACTATATTGTATTGATTGAATAGAAATGAGATTTTAACAGAACAAAATAGATACAGTAACAAGCCAAAAGAACAGATAATTCCCAACAGTTCGAGGAGCTAGGGACCTCCCTTGATGACCCTTTAAAAATATGCCTACGTTTTCCTAAACTCACCTCCCTTTATGTACTAATCCCTTAACTAAAATATTCCCCCCACTAAACAACTTGATTCCCTAACACATGAATATTTCCCAACCAACTCCCACTAGCACACTTGCACACTTGAACACTCACACACCCAGCACCCTATTGCCCTTATGCCTTTTACTGATAGACTTTACTAATGAAAGGTCTATCAATAACAGACCACCCCACCCACCCCCTCCCCTCTCTCTCTTGAAGAGTCACCTTGTCCTCAAGGTGGAAAAGAGGGAATCGAAGATTGATGACATCAGAAGACTCCCAAGTAGCCTCAAACGAAGCTAGGTCATTCCATTGAATGAGAACCTCTTTAGAGCCCTTTAAGGTGATAGAAAAGGTTGGCCCAGTGGCCTACAAATTTGCCCTTCCTACTATAGCTCGAATCCACCCAATTTTCCATGTCTCCCAACTCAAAAGAAGTCTCCACACAACCTTTACCTACTTTTCTCATCGAGGATTTGGAACTCTTAGTGTAGCTAGAAACGGTGCTCTCTTCTTGCACTTTACTCAATGGTTCCAAGGAGGTCCTGATTCAATGGAAGGATCTTCCTCTTTTTGAGGCCACCTAGGAGTCTTATGATGTTATTGCCAACCAATTTCCTCAATTCCACCTTGAGGACAAGGTGGCACTGGGGGAGGGGGGGCGCGAGGCGGGCAGTATTGTTAGACCATCCATTACTAAGAGATATCGCAAGCAAGGGAGATGGTCCAAGGGCGTGATTAAAGGCCATGAGAATTAGTTAGGATATAGGGTACACGTGTCCTGGTTTGATAGAATGATTTTGGGGGAATCAAGTGTGCATATAAAAAGTGGGGTTACGCTCGTGAAAGGGCAGATTGTATTTTTGAAAAGGAATCTTGTGGGAGGTCACTAGCTCCTTGAATTGTTAGCAACTCTGTTTTCTTAATTCTGTTCTTCAATTCTTCATTACTTGTTCTTCATTTTTATTACAATAAATCAATACAATTCTTAATTGATTACTTGTTCTTCATTTTTATTACGATAAATCAATACAATTCTTAATTGATTAATTCTTATTAATTCTGTGTGTTAAGATTGCTGGTTTGTTTGAATTTGTGTTGCTGGAATTGCTACTTTTGTTGAGGTCTGTATCAATCTACAAAACCTTAGGATATTAAAATGAACTCACTGAATATAAAAGTCAATGATGGTATCATTGATGAATGTCTCAGGCTGTAGAAGCTCCACATCTCTCCTACTAATTACAACAGCATCAGGATCACCTTTTGGATATATAACATCTTCAAAGCACTCATTAAACCTGGAATGTATGAACTTTAATCAAGAGATCTCATGAAAGAGAAAACCGCAAGTGAGCTTCACAGACAAAAATAAGCAGCAAGTCTCATAGCATACAGAAAGAACTTGTACAAGCATTATAAATTACTTTGGAAATGGCACATATCCTAAAAAGCATTACACACAAAGTATAGAGGAGAAATAATTTCCTCCTGCACGGCACAAATTTCAAAACTATTATTGCTGATTCACCAAACAAAAGTACTCATGTTGTAGACATGGTGCAAGGATTAGAATCCATGGCGTGGTTAAAGATTCACCAATAGAGGCTCATTATTATTTATGAATGTGGTTTATATGGACATAATTTTATAATTTGTGATATAAAACTTATTTTCTTTTAACTCATTGTCTTACCCACCACAAATTTAGCCCAAACCTTCCTAAACCAGGCAACTAATGGTTCTACAATGCTTGCCTGTCTCTATGATGTACTGAACACAACAATAACAATCCAAAGAAAACCTAAGTGAAGTAAACTGAATTAAAAATACCAAAAGTATTACAATCTAAGTAATATAAAGAAAATTAGAATCACAATTCAGATGTTAAGGAATAGGAAACACATAAGAGCGTACATGATTAACAAAATCAAGTATAAGTACATTCAAATGCATTTTAATAAGAAAAAACTGTATCAGAGATTAATGGTGTTTAATATTAGAAGAAAACAGTCTAACTTCCACTGACTTACTCAAAAAGATATTGCTTTGACAACTTGTTCTTTTGTCCCAAGAAAGTATTCACTTCATTTTCTCTATCACAACTGCAAGAAAATAACAAAAAAATCTATTGACATAAATATATCAGTACGAATAATTTATTTTCTTCAATTGACACACACACAAAAAAAAAAAAATAAATAAATAATAATAATAATAAAACTGAAAAAAAAAAAAAAAATCAGTTAGGGGTTATTCTAGAAGTCCTCAGAAGGATATATCTCCAATTTTCTATAATCATTTGGAGAATGTGGTGCGTGATGGTAGTAAATTCCAATTCAGGAAGATGTTGTTTTCACTTATTATAAAAGAATTTATCTTTTATGCCTAACTCATAACATTTCAACGATCATTGGTTGGTCTCTTGTAAAGAATTTTGTTGGATGTAATTTTGATTTAATAACAATTCAAAGGATCATGAATTTAATGAGTTATCTTCTCTTCTTTATTTCATTAAGGTTCAATATAGATTGCTTGAAAGAGGATAATCAAGTTTAGACGCTTGAACCATCAGGCTATTTTACCTGTAAATCTTGCTTCAATTGGCTTATCGATGAAATTTATTGAAAGCGACTTAAATGATAAATTCACTTGCAAAGTCTTCTTTCTATCCTAGTTGGTGGCTCTTTTTATTGATAAATGTTATGAGAGGCAGTTCTGGGCCACATGTTCGTTTTGGATTATTGGGAGTTTCTTGCTGGTTTTTTAGTCATTCTTTGATGATTATCATTCTTGGGTTTTGTCTGGAATACACTACGCATTTTTCTGTTTTCTCAAGCTTGTCCTTTAGTGGACTGCTTGTTCACTTTTGTTAGCTGTTTTGATCAATACATCTTTTATAGTTTCTTACTAAAAACCCAAAAAAAACAAAAAACAAAAAAAACAAAGGACAAAAGAATCCAAATAGGTGGCTCATGGAAAAGGTCAATACAGTTGATGTTATTCAGAAATGGTGATCTGACTCTTATCCATTTCTAAATTATTGCATTTTGTGTAGAAAGGATCTTGAAAGCTTTAATCATTTATTTCCTAATTGTCTTTTTTTACTTAAAACTATAGTTTTAAGATCTTTAGGATGACAAGACAGTGTTTCTATTGAGACAGCATGGCATGTGATAGAAGAGTCTGCAAGAAGAGAGCCGAGGGAACTAACTACTCTTGCAAGTCGTATCTACAGTGGTTGATACTTGACTCCTAATGGAAGCCTTTAAGTCTTTCAATATCATTTGGAAAGCTATATTTCGTCCTAAAATCAAAACAAAGTATCCACGAATTCTCTGGCCTTCTTGATGTGTAACATGTAAGAAAATTGAACTTCAAACCGTCTTTTTCATTACTATCAAGTGACTTATTTGTGGCCTAGGTTATGCAAAGAAGCCGAAATTGCTTCGGTCAGTCAAGGTATTTGTGAATTTTTTTGTATCTTAGATTCTTTAGAAAAGGTAGTCCATAATTTTGAAACCAGAGAATAATGAAGAGTTGATAAGCAGTCTCTAAACTGTTTTACATATGAGGCGCCAAGATAGAAAGAAACATATCAAACAATACTTTCTTTGGATCAACAAAATAATTACCCCAAAGCAACCAAAAAAAAAAAAAAAAGTTATCAATAAGCTGATGGTTGGCAAAAGGTGGAACAACAATCAACTAATATAACACATGTAAATCAAGAATAAATCTGAACAAAAAGAAAGGATTCATCTAACAACTTAACAATTTTCTCGACTAAAGAACTCTGAATATCCTTAATAAAAACCAAAGCCCAAGGTCACCCAAGATAGTACTCCTCATAAAATATAAGAACCTTCCTTCCAAACATCTAAAAAAGTTCTGAAATTTCTTTTCAACTAATAAACCCGAGATCCATTTCTCATGTCAAAGACAACCAAAACTTGGAACATTATCAAATAGGAAATAATTATAAGACAATTAAGCAAATCAAAAACTTACTCAAAAGCAACATCCCACACTTCCTCATATCTCACATCCAATAACTTGATTGCTTCTTGTCGTTTGAACCAATGTGGGTCATAAACTGCAAACTTCAACAACTGAATGCCTGCATGCAGTTTCATTATTTTTAATCTAAGAAAAATAATAAATACAGAAAATAATCACAAACAGCAGTGATATAATTATTACATGATTTCTCAAATTGGGCAAATGTGGAACATCATTTGACACAGTATTGTTTAATAAACTGGTTACACAGGTCAAATTATGCTAACCATTTAATAAATGTATCATATTATTGTTTAAACCCTTCTCACCATTAATTAAATGGGTCGGTATGGGTTGACCAAAGCTTATTTATTCCCCTTTGATGACTTAACCTGAAGACGACACAGCCATCAGTTTTGGCACACCTATTTTCAAGGATAATGATAAAGTAATGTTCCTTTATTCAGATGATGAAATGATCCATTGATGCCCCTTCTCAATATAAACAGAAGTTGTACATTGTGCTACTGTCTTTTAAGTTGCTTTAAAAGATCACAAAGATAATTAACCAATTCTCTTAAAAGCTGATTGTTACTATTGATGCTGCCCCACGCTCCACGACTATTAATAAATAATGTCAAAAATGGCCTGAAACAGGAGTCTACCAAAAAAAAAAAAAAAAAAAAAAAAAACACTTGTGTAGCTTCATAGAACGTATATTTTATTTCCAAATACTACAATAGGAACTTACAATAACTTAATAATACAAGCATCCAAATTCTATATAAAATGGTTAAATCAAATACAATCATTCAACCATAAGTGCAGATTATCATGGCAAAGTACAAGATAAAAGGATTAATGACTCTTTCATTTTACAAAATTAGTTGTGAAAACCTAGCAAGGCTGATGCTTTTAGGCATGGAGCATAATTATCATATGTTCAAGGTCACAATGAACCATACAGCAGAGTTGGGGAACATTGGGGACTTGGCATAAATTTAAGAGTAATATGCAAATGAAGTTGCTAGTAATCCAAATCTTGATCCATTACTACAAACCAATATGAAATAGCTCAAAGCAACTTTCCAATGGAAATGAGCCAACCTGAAATTTCATTTGCTTTTTCTGCTCCGATAGAATCATTTGATTTAAGCATAAGATTAATAATAGCCGTTTCAACCTACAACCAGAGATAGAAATGCCTTATACTAACATATAGTACCTACATGAAGCATAGTTGAAGGGAAGGATGGTGTTACTCACCCTCCCATGCCATGCTGACTGAATTTTGATGATATCCCCAACATTACATTCAAAGCTTAAGGTTCCGTTGGTCCCATTTACAGTTGAACCTTCAACTTTAATGGAGCTACATGAAAATGTTATTCGAGACATCGTACAATACATCTCTCTATATAGAATGAAATCGGGGAAAACAATCACTTTCTTTTTTACAAGATCCTGCAAATCATAACAATACAGAGGTTTATCATAAATTCTAACCAACCACTTAATTAAGCAGCACAAGAAATAGAGCATATGAGAAGTATTTCATAGAAAGAAAATGTCAAGTAATGCAATTACATTAAAAATGATGTAAATCCTAGTCAAGAGCATACAAAGAAACCATGAGCTGCCAGTAAAGAAGAGAATTAACTTGGTGCCAGTCAATGCATCAGTCAAATGTCTAAATATTAAGGACTAAGCAGGCAACATCATCATTTCAAGGTCCTTGCAAGCAAAAGCCATACAGTCAACAGTTGTTGAAGAATGAGGGAAGCTCAAGTTTTTTCAACTTAAAATGCTGAAGTTAGTTCATTTCGCACCAGAAAATAGGAATTTCCTTCCTAAGGACCATCCTTCATTCAAAAAAGAAGGAGCCTTTCCACAATAAACTCAAAGTTAGCATTAAATATGGAAACTACAAGCTGTCTCTCTCCAGCTCTTCCAACTGAACATAGGATAAGCGGTAAAATTTTGTGGCCAGAGTGAAATGGTCTTACATTTATTTCTAAGTTGTAACCATCTGAGTGTCTTATGTGCACTGGAAAGGAGAGGGAAAAAAAGACTGAATGAAGCCTTCCAGTTGTAGAAACTGTTCCTTGAAAATACATATACAATGCAATTCTACACTAAAACTGCTTACCATCTTGTTTGCCTTTGCCCCTTCTCTATTTGTTTTTGGCAGATACACCAGGTAGGTTTAATAACAAATGGTTTATTCTAAAACCATAGGTAATTCCGTTGATTTTCAGCACCCACACTATTACATGACTATGTAATATCAAGATATGTCTCTAAAATTAATCTTCAAAATCGCAGAAAGAAGAGGACTCGATGCCTTACAGATCAACTATAAGTTTCAAACAATGGTAATGTCGACCACTTTACTTTTTAAAACTCTTTTACACAAAGCTAACTACAGCAGTGCATTTTCTAATTCAAGAATTAAAGAGTGTACTTTCTGAAAGCAGGATTTTCAATACATAATGTCTATTTTCTCCACATACTTTCCCAGAAGATGGTTAATTTCTTATTTGGGACTTCAAGTCTTCAGTAAATAACTCTTTAATGACCACAAATTACAAAATATAACCATGGTTGAACACTTACAGTTTCATGTCCACAAAAACCTTGCTCTGCCACCCATTCATCTAATAAAATTGAAACAAAATAGAAGTTATCATATATGATAAGATCATAAAAGAGTCATAAAAGTGAGTGAATCATGTGCAGCAAAAGAAAAAGGATGCCAAGTACCTTCATTATCTGAAGGAGGAGATGATGAAATTGATGAACTCATTTCAATACAGTCATCATCATCAGAAATCACACTAACTTGCTCATTCTGAAACAAATTTATTTAAATAAGTACTAAGGGCATTCAACATCTACATGAGGCCTTTCACATAAAAATGATCCAAATGAGTAATGTAAAACATTAGGAAAAAACCCAGCGATGAAGCTTTTCAGATTTTGCTTCCAGCTAAACTGATCTAAAATTCATTTTGAAAGCAAAAATTAAATAAAAGAAACCACTTCTAGACTAAAGATAATTAGGAGAAGCATCAGCAGTACCTCATAATCTGAAGAACATGAGAACAAAGAGGTATCCAACCCGACAGCCTCTCTTAAAGTGCAATCTTTTCTTGGGTTGCCCTTAGGATAAGATACAGAATATGTGCAGTGATTATCCATACTACTAACACCAACATCCAACAACTTCTCAGTGATCTCCTTTTGATGAGTCTTTTCCTTTTGTGCAACTACAAAGGAAATATAGTTTAGACAATTACAAATTTTTGCATTGTAGCAAAACTGAGCAGTTGTTTTCAGTACCTCCATCATCTACAACAATTGGTTCATTGCTGATTTCCATCTGTTCAGAATTTGCACTTTGTGCAGCTGTATGAAAAGAAAATGAAAAAAGAACATTCTATAAACCAAGTATTATACAACAGTAAAGCAGCGATTCTTGGCCTAACATAAGAACTCTTAAGGAAAGAAACCCTGGAAAATAAAAAATTTTGAGAAACTGCAATGTTGGTCTAGTAGAGAAAGTTGGATATTTCAGACTTGAAGAAAAAAATGTACACTAATTTCCCATACCTCCAGCATTGATGCCAGTTGTCTCACATCTAATTTCCTTTTGTTGATTATAGCTACCTTTTGAAACTACATAGGAAGCAGAGAGATGAAGATTACCATGCATATACTCAATAAAACATAGACTCCGTTTGGTTCACTATTCTGATGCTTTTTAGAATATTATTTTGAAAAAAGTATAGTTGGGTTATCTTTACGAGAAAAGTAATTATTAATGTTTTGAGAGTTGAATAAAGTAGAATTGGATTTTGAGAATATTGAAACAAATACATTTTTTAGTTTTTAGGATAGAATAGTGAAATATGATAGGGATATAATAGTGAAACAAAGGGGCCCATAGATACTTGATTGAAGCAATGATACCAGGTTTAATAACATAATGATAGCCAAGGAAGAAGGCAACAATGAGAAATAGAAACAAGGAAGAGTGAGCATAAGAGCATTATCTGTGAGAGAAATCTTGAGCAGTGAATAACCTGAATAGACAAATCAGATTTTAACTGAAAGAATCCTCTAGGTAACAGGAATACACGCATAAAATTTTTAAAAATATTGATTTAAAAAGAATAACAAGAAAAGGTGTCAAATTGGCTTGCACGATGTAGCTTGGTTAATTTATGCCCTGCAATAGGCCAATCTTATTATTGAATTTTTTTTTTTTTTTTTGGGGGGGGGTGGTGGGTGACTTCCAGAGCCAGGTTAACCCAGCCTGGATTCAAGCCCAGGGTTGAGCCAATCTATACAAATCAGGCCAGGGCTGGGATAATAAAATACACTGACAAACATTTTTAAGGTAATTAACAACAAAATTTTCATGATCCATACCCAAAATGGCATATAATAGAAAGCAGCATTCAGCAATATGCATCTAACGAAATTTTTTTTTTTTGACAAAAGTAAATCAAGTAACCAGTATTAGATGATACAGGTTCCGTTTGGTTCGCTATTGTGATGCTTTTTAGAATAGTATTTTGGAAAAAGTAAAGTTGAGTTGGGTTGGGTTATCTTTACGAGAAAAGTAATTATTGGGCCTCTTTGGTACAACATTTTTACCCTATCCTATCCAAATACATATTTGTTTCAATATTTAAAATTCTGTTCAAAATACAATACTATTTTATTCAACTCAAAATATTTAGATTAATTTTAATCCCCTAAGTTTATTAATTTAACTAAACACCCCCAACAATAAAATTTTATAAATTGACAAAAACACCGCACCCACCCACATTTGCCAGATTCTGGCCACCACCGATGGAAGGTGGTCGGAATCTGTTGTAATGGCACACTACTGGCCATGGCCTTTTCCGGCCAGATCCACCGTGGATCTGGCTGGAAAAGGTCAGATCTAAGGCTGCCAAATCTAGCCGTTGATGACGGCTATATCTTGGCCGTCGTTTGACCTTTTCCAGCGGTGGATCTGGCCGGAAAAGGCCAGATCGGCGCACTATTGGTCATATACAGCCGGTAGTACACCATTACATTCTAGCAAATGTGGGTGAGTGGGGTTGTTTTTGTCAACTTATAAACTTGTATTATTGGTGTTTAGTTAAATTAACAAACCTAAGGGGTTAAAAATAGTCTAAATATTTTCAAAAAATGCTATTAAAAAAATGTATAAAAAACTTCTCAGGATACTACTCAACTCAACTTTTTCCAAAAGACTACTCTAAAAACTCCCAAAATAGTGAACCAAATAGAGCCATTAATGTTTTGAGTTGAATAAAGTACAATTAGATTTTAAGAATATTGAAACGAATGGATTTTTGGGTTTTTAGGATAGGATAATAGAATAGGATGGGGGTAAAAATAGTGAACCAAAGGGGCCCACAACCATCCCCATGCAAAAGGTACAAAGAAAATATCAGCATTCCTATTGTTGGAAATTGGGATAACAAAAATTCAAGTTGAACAGCCCTATTGTCTTGTAGTTATACAGACAAACCTTGTATTTTATATTAAAACATAAAACTTCTATTTTTTATGTTAAGTAGAGGACAACATTCTCTAGTATCTAAACCACAAAAATAGAAAATGATGTCATAAAAACAATAATGCAAGAATAAAACTCTTTTCCTGTGAAACTAACAAGATGACACGAACTGTTTAAAGAAGCAAAAATTAAAGTATTTCCTCATAGTCAGTTGTCCGCAAAAGCACCTCACTACTGCTACCACACATAGAAGCATTGCCTAAAGTGAACGGACATTGTAAGATTTTCATCATTCCAGGAAAATTAAATGGACATGAGAGAGTTTCTATCCTCTCTATTTTCTTAAAAATATTGGAATAATCCAGGCCCTAAATTGCCAAAACCATAACCTATGACTTCTCAATTGAAGTTACTTGGCTGCTTGAATTGGCTTTGTTTCACAGTTAACATCCATAGGTCGATAGTCTTTTCCGTTCAACAGCTACTTTTCTAAAATTCTCAGGACCCAACAAATCAAAATTCTACAAATCAAAACTTTCCTTCAGTTTTTTTACCCACATTTCTCAACCAACAACAAAAGACTGAATAGCTAGGAACCAAGTAAGTTATAGCATTCAAGAGATATCAACATTGAAGCACAACACTTGAGCAACGTCATGGGTGAATTCAACCAAAGATAAGTTTCGTGGGGCTAAGTTGAGTTCGTTAAATTTTTTTTCCCTTATTTTATTTTCAAATTACTGAAATGATCTGTATCTTTATATTCCTTCTAAAAGCTCTCTTCTAATTTCCACATTTTCCATCCATCTTGCCATCATCCAACCAGAACATAACCCCAGCAATCCAACACCTATAATTTTTAAATTGAAACTCCCTCCAGTTCTAAACCAACCAAATTTTATTTACACTTCATAATCCAAAACACAAAGATTAACAGCAAAAACTGTAACCAAGCTCTAGCACTAAGCTTAATCAAATTCAGAAATTGTTTTCTTGGGAGTCTCAATTGCCAAAAAATAATTTCAGGACATGTGAGGAGGTTCTTGTTTTTGCTAGGAATCCTCCAGTATTTTTATTGTTTATACGAGGGTTTTTGAAAAAAAATTCATCCTTTTTAATGATAAGTTTTCTTGTTTCTTACTAAAAAAACAAAGAAAATCCAAAACAATCATACCCCTTAAATTTCACATTTCAAATTATACTCCCAAGACCCAATTTTCTCACAAAACAAACAGAAAAAAATCATTATCACGATCCCCACTGATCATACTAATTAAAAATTCTTACGGCCTAAAATCCTAAAAGATAATACTCCTTAAATTTCAATTTTCAAATTTCGAATTCCAATCCCCTTACCGATTTTCTCACACTTTCTGAGAAACCAAACAAGCACAAAATTAATATAAAATAAGATAAAAGAAAATAAAAATTCAAGAGAGAGAGACTGACAGCATTGAAGAAACTTGTACTTGTTAACGGGAGAAGTGTGGCGGTTTTTGGGAGAGAACTTCCCGAGTAACTTCTTAGAGATCTTCTCCACGCGCTCGTCTTCTTCGTCGAAATCAAAAACTTGATACTTCTTCTTCTTCATGGTTCGTTCATCACCTTGCGTGACAAGTTTTCCCCTTTTTGGCTTTTCAAAGAACGCTTCGCTCCTCTTTCTACTTCTTTACAGAGATAGCCCTGGCCTAATTCACATTTGTTTCAACAGTATAATGGGGTGGACCTGACCCTGGGCCCGGACCTGGACCCGGGCTGGCATTTGAATTTTTTTAATAGTATTTGTGTAAGCTCTAAGGCCATATTTGGTTGGGCTAATTCTTCTTTTTTGAAGTAATGTCGTTTGTTATTACTTAGATTACTACATTTGATTGTCAAATAATATAGGGTGAGTTTGGTTTAGTATTTTGGATAGGATTTTAAAGATAATATTGGATAATTAGATAGGGTTATAATTACGAGAATAAGATTTTTAGAATATGTGTTTGGTAGAGTATTTTGACATTGATATTTGTGTTGAATATTTACTTATAAATGATTTATTAATATAATATTTTATTGTATTTTATTAAAATCCAATTAAAACAATTCCAAATAAAACAAAAACTCATCCATGCGTGTGCCCCACGAGAAATAAAACAGAAATGCGTATTCACAATCCACTCATGCCAAACAAAGACAAAACGCAACTGCTTCCCTTTTTACACAAATATGAGGTGGGTTTGATGGAGATCGGGGTGTCGGTTTGATCCAGATTAGGGTGTGGGTTTGCGGCAGATCAGGTCACGGTGAAGGTGGGTGCGTGGGTGCTCGGGGTGGGTTGGTTTGGGGTACATCGGGTCACGGTGGGTGTGTGGGTGCTCGGGGTGGGTTGGTTTGGGGTAGATGGGGTCACGGTGGTGCGTGGGTGCTTGGGGTGGGTTGGTTTGGGGTACATCGGGTCACGGTGGTGCGTGTGTGCTCGAGGTGGGTTGGTTTGGGGTACATCGGGTCACGGTGGTGCGTGGGTGCTCCGGGTGGGTTGGTTTGGGGTAGATCGGGTCACGGTGGTGCGTGGGTGCTCGGGGTGGGTTGGTTTGGGGTAGATCGGGTCACGGTGGGTGCGTGGGTGCTCGGGGTGGGTTGGTTTGGGGTAGATCGGGTCATGGTGGTGCAGTGAAAAAAAAATGAAAAAACAAAAATGTAACGGTAAAAAAAAACATTTGTCAGGATAGTTGTCAGGCTTGAATTATCAGGACAGGATTCTGTAAATAATAAAACAAACACCATTTGTAAAATCCGGTCCAAAATATGGATAAAAATACTTAGCCAAACGCGCCCATAAGTTTCTGATAATCTTTTATAATATAAGATTTTGATAATCTTTCAAAACCAATAATCATTACTGTTGGTAATATAGGAGATAATTTGATTATCTCAATTTTCTTAAGTATTTTATGATTACTAGGTAATCTTAATTTTATTACAATTTTATCCCTTATTAATAAAATTTTAGGACAATAATTCCCTTATTGTCTAAACAATTTACAAATAAATTTATGGACAATTTTCACCTCATATTCAGGGTTTTTAAGACAAAACTACCCTTGTACTTCAACCAAATTACCCAAAACCACAACCACCCCCAACCACCACCCCTATCCACCCAAGACTAGTGCCGATGGCTAGCCACCATCGCCAGTTGCCACCAGAAGTCACAAGAACCAATTAGCCATGCGCCGGTAAGGCCAGATCCATGACTGAAAATGACCAGATCTAGCTGTGAAACAACTATAGATCTAGTCATAAACGACTTTGTCGGCGGACAACGGGTCATATCCGACTGGTTGTGCGTCATTCTGTCAACTGCTGGCGGCGACCAATAGTAGTGGCTGGCTACCGACAGTGACTTGGGGCGGGTGTGGGTAATCTTGTTACAAATTAAAATTTTATATAGCTGTAGTGTTTTAACAAAATTTCAAATGTAAAAGTTTAAAGAAATTATTCAAAAAATAATAATAAAAAAATAATAATATATTAATAGTTAAAAATAAGGGCAATTTAATAATCTATGTAATATATCCACCAATTTACCCTCCCAACTAAACATATCTATATAATATACTCACAAATTTATTTCAATTTAATCAAACACATTTCCCTAAATTTTTATAATAATTTTAAAGGTAATCTATTTTTTCATTAATATAACATTCCAATAAATACAACATTCCCTGAATCAAGCGCATCCTAAATATACTTTTTGGAAGTCCTTTCAATCAATTTTTAAAAAATTAAAATTAAATGACCAAAATCTTCTTGATTACAAACTTATTAAAAAATAAATCTAATTCATTGGTTGTGGAGAACTTAGAAAAATAGGCGCTTTTCTATCTTTGAAGTCTGCCTAGTACAAACTTTTTCTTTTTTTCTTTTCAGTATCAAATTTAATACGGCAGGCTTAAATAATCTTTTAACTTCTTTCTTTTATTATTAATTTTGGTTCTATGTTGTTCTCCAAATTAAGTTTGTTATCCGGTCATTCCCAGTCTCATGTTTACAATAATTTATAATTTATCAATCACCTACTTAAACTTTTTCTGTTATTCACAACATACTAATGAAAATTTTTGTGTTTGTTGGTTATATACACACTTTTCAAACTCTGTCCTATCATACTATCTTATTCAATCTATTGATAAACGTGTTTTTTTTAATATTGACTATTCAATTCAACATCCAATCATATTCTATTCAACTCAAAACATTTAACAATTATATTTCTCTATTTCTCAATAAAAGTTTATAAATTAACAAAAACACCCCCACTCACCCAACTAATTGCCGACAACCAGCCATCACCGCAAGACGGTGGCTAGAAGTCGCTAGAATGGCACATGACTGGCTGGATCTGGCCGATCATGCACTATCTAGTCGTTTCCAACTAGATCTACGACCAAAGATCTAGCCATCATTCAACCGTCAACGATGGCCAAGATCTGGCCGTTTCCGGCCAAATCCATAGTAGATCTAATTAGAAAATGCTAGATCAGCACACGACCAGCCAGATTCAGCCGATCATGCACCATTTCGACGACTTTCAGCCACCGTCTAGCGGTAGTGGCCAACTGTCAATAATAAGTTGGGTTAGTGGAGGTGTTTTTATTAATTTATAAGCTTTCATTATGGGGGGTTGTTTAGCTAAATTAACAAATGTATAGGGTTAAAAAATAATCTAAATGTTTTTAAAAACTGTATCAAATACATTTTCAGAATTCTATCTAATTAAATCATATCATATCCTATTTATAATAGAATACTAATATCAAACGGAGCAATTTTTTGAAAGATCTTAGAGAGTTTAGAAAGGAGATGACAACTATAATTTTGGAATAAAATAAATATTTATATTTAAATTTGAATTTTATTAATTTTTATTAAAATTAAAGCTTAGAAAGAGATTTACTAGGCTCAAATAACAACACTCTTTTTTAAATACTAGTTGTTGTGCAAGAGTTTATGGCAAGCTGGGAACGAGAGGTAGCTCGATGAAAGCAATGCTCAGCGGAACAAGCTAACCAAGCCGTGGTTAGGATCGGGCAAGCATTGTTTGGAAGAGCAAGCTAACTTGACTGTTTTCCCACATAACACAAATGAGCCTTATCCCCCTAGAATCAAGGAGAGGATTTTGGCATCGGATCACATAATCCCGGATTTAACATGCGATTGAGCCAATCGTGGGATTAACTCCTCATGTTTAAGCCACAATCCCTCAAATCATGTTTATTACCATTATCAATTTCTGTGTATACATAACCCTAAAAAATTCATTATAAAGGGTTAGCAAATTGAGAGACAGAAATAAAGTATTTTCTTGTAACCTTTCATATTTAATACAAGAACAGTGAACGTAGACTTGAGAGTTAACTCACCGAACTACTTTAAAAAAGAGTCTTTTGTCTTTTAATTTATTTTATTTTCTGATTATTTATAATCCCGCAACAATTTGTTCTGATTTTATCAAGATCAATGAGATTTCTCTAGTTGGTGCAATTTTTTGTATTAACATTAGTTTTATTCAAACTAGGGATTGCAAAAATTTACAATCCAATCCACATGAATTTCTATCATATCCAATCCATTCTTGAATTTCAAAAATGGATTGGATTTGAGTGAATTTAAAGTTTACTATGCAGTTTAAAAATCAGATTATTTCTCAAATTGATTTTACATTGTAAATTGATAAATATACCCATACAATAATTCCTTAAACTGCAAAATAAACTTAAATAAACATTTAGTAAATTAAATATATAATTTTATAATTTATTTATAAATTAGAAACATATTGAAATACATTTGAAGCCATAGTCAGTACTTGAAACTTCCAGTCTACAAAGAATCCAGTGATCTCATTGGATTTGTAAGCTTATTTTGGCCACAGGAAGTGGCTAAAGATTCGGCCGCCTTCTATGGCTTAAATAAGCATTGGAATCCGATGAGATCACCAGATTCTTGTAGGCCGGGAGTTGCCAGTCCTAATGGGACCAACTATGTCTATAATTTGCTACCTTTGATCAATGTTTGATCGTCGGTCAATGATGATTTGACTTGTGTTAACCGATGGTTGCCTACCACTGCTAGCTATATCCAATATCTTGAATTTTTCTGAATTATTAATTAATTAAAATTTTATTTAATGTAAATAATTTTAATGCATTTTTTAAATACTTATTAAAATATAATTTTTGGGTTTGGATATTGGATATCCATAATCTAATCCAATACATTTGGATAGTGATGACTATATTTTAAATTTGGATTGGATACTCATGATTCAATCTATTTAGATAAAAATTGATTAGTAAAAATATGTATAAATAAATTTTAATGCATTCAGAAGTTATTGTTTTCCTAATGTTTTTAAACCTACTTATCCTCTTTATGATCATGGTGAGAAGCAAGGAAAGAAATAATGGGATTTTCATAAAAATGAAATCATCAATACCCTTTACTCTTGTTTCTTTATTTATTTAATAATTTTTTAGAAGTAACTTAAATCTTTGCTCAGTAAATTGGTGGTTTAGAAGCAATTGTGAAATTCGTAAAAGTAAAACAAAACCAAGTAATTTGAAACTTGAACCAGAGGTATAGTTTTTTTGGAATAGTTTCTTAAATATTATAAAAAGT